CATATTATAAGCAACGAAAAATTAATTACATAAATTTTAGTGAATTAGTTATAAGATATATAAATTAAAATTGGCAAAATCGGAACTATATTCTTAAAATTAATAAATAAATTATATAAATTAAATTTGATTACATTGTTAAAATATACTTTGCAAAAATGCCACTACCATACCCACATTAGGAAATTTGATTTTAATTCGATTAAATTCGTGAGAGGATGATATTAATTCGCAAATTAAAAAACATAGTACACACTACAAGAAAAATGCACATAGACAACACTAGAAAGACAACAGTTTTTAAGAAAAGTTTTGTCTTTTGTATAAAAGACAACAGTTTGGTCCAAAACCATTGTCTTTGATGCAACACTTTTGTCAAAGACAACGGTTTTTACTTAATCGTTGTTATAAGTGTGTTGTCTTTGTGCATTTTGTCAAAAGACAACACCACAACGACAACGGTTTTTAAAAACCGTTGTCTATGTGCGTTTTTTTAAAAATAAGACAACGGTTTTTTTTAACTGTTGTCGTTGGTGTGTTGTCTTTAAGCGCACTGGAATACACAACACTAGAAAGACAACGGTTGTTTTAAACCGTTGTCTTTGTGCGCTCTTTTTTTTAAAAATAGACAACGGTTTTATTTAACCGTTGTCGTTGGTGTGTTGTCGTTAAGCGCACTCGAATACACAACACTAAAACGACAACGGTTTTATATAACCGTTGTCTTTACATGTCCTTTATTTGTTTAAGACAACGGTTTTATTTAACCGTTGTCTTTGATATGTTGTCTTTAAGTGTATTTGAATACACAACACTATAAAGACAACAGTTTTAAAAAACCGTTGTCGTTGCGCATCATTATTTAGCATGTATATAAAATAAAAACAAAGATGTTAACTAGAAGAGTCAAACCTATAACCTCATGCTTAACAAATACATGATTTTACCAACTACACAACACAAACTCTTATATTTAAAGGTGCAATATCTGGTATATAACTGGGTTGCTTCTGTGTTGTTTGTGAAAACCAAGACAACAATTTTAGAAAATAGTTGAAAAATTCCCCCTAGGAAAAATAGAACCTAAGACCTCAAACATAATAAACTAAGCTAAACCCACCAAGCCACAGCAACACTTATATACTCAAGCACAACATCTAGTATATTACCAAAATAGTTCTATTTTCGTTCATATTTAAATATAAAATTATTCACAAAAATTTCAAAGTAAATTAATTAAAGTTTTATTTTCAATTATATTACAATAAAGGCCAATCTATGAATTCAAAATAATAATAATAATTATCAAGTATAAAAAACAATATGGGGTGGTGTTCATAATGGTGCGGTATGATGTGTAGGGGTTTAGGGCGGTATATATGATAGGGGCCGGGGTTGGGTAATCGGCTATTCCGGCTAGCGCATGACTAACAAGGTTAGCTATATGTTGGTAATTGACCCTTAGGGCTAGCGCATGACTAACAAGCTAAGGTTAGCTATGTGTTGGTAATCGACCCTTCCGACTAGCGCATGACTAACAAGGTTGAAACTGTTGGTAATCAACCCCTCTAGCATGCCTGGAACACGTTGAGAATGTATATGAAAGAGTAGTTGATCGATGCCGTACAGTTTGCTATATCCCATTTCTTTTGCTGCGATCTTAATTAGCTCTATGTTCATAATTACCAAACTATATATTCATAATTTTTGAATTGAAATGCATATTCATAATGATTGAATAACTCTGATCTATATTCACAATTACAGAACTTTGTGTTTATAATTTGCGATGTTCATATTCCCAAGTGTTTATAACTATACATTTTAGAAATTGTGAATCAACAATACATAAATTATGAATATGCAATATAGAAATTATGAATTTATTGTATAGAAATTATTAATCTATACAACTGTATTTAAATTAGAAATATACTGTATAGAAATTATGAATCTACATTATACAAATCTATGAATTTCGTGTTCTGTACCTATATACCCGGTTCTATTTTAATTGACCGGATGTAGCGACTCGGGTAATTAAACTAATATTTTGTTACGAAATTTCCCACTAGAAAAATTAAAATTTCCCTCTAAGTCAAAATTTCCCTCTAAGACAAAATTTGGAAATTTTTGTCTTCCCTCTAAGACAAAATTACGCAAAGGTCGTAGGTCCTCCTTCAGGCTTCAGTTCGCCGACCGCCTGTCTCCGCTAACAGCTCGTCCATGTCGAAGGGGGGGGGGGGTTTCTGCCGGCTTCAACAACACCAACGACACAACACTAGCCATCTCCGCAGTGGGTGCTCTCCGCCGACCGCCACTAGCCATCTCCGCCGACCGCGTACCGCCGCCGCGTCCAAGCTTCGACGCCGTCGCCAAAGCCCAACCTCTTCCGCCATCGCCGCCGCCATCCTGTGTCACCGTCGGTCCAGCTGCCGCCGCCGTGAGGTATCCAAGCTATTTTAATGTAATAATCTGTCAACTTTATCCAAGCTAGGTCTGATTGTATCAATGTGTGTATCAATAAGTATATGTTTTTTTTTTGTGTGTGAAAATATGATAGAAATTTAAATTATGATCTCTGGGTGTGATTATTGAATTTTTCATTCTACTCTTGCATAAGAAAGAAGTTGTTTGTAGCCTTGACAACTTGTTTATGCTTGTTCAATCTACTCTTTCTGCTTCTCCAGAAACTTGTTTATGCTTGTTTTTGGTATACTTTAAATTTACACTTAGATAGCTACATTAGTCTCTATGAATATTATGCATCAATGCACCATTCTCTTGGTAGTTGGATTCCACTGAATTCTGTATTGTTGGATTCCACTGAATTCCAGTGAGCAACTTGGATTCCACTTGGATTCCACTGAATTCAATCTCTTGGTAGTTGGTACACATAATAGCTAAAGAATTCTGATTATATGTTAAAGAACTTAATGCCAAGGGTATTAAAATATTAATCATTTCATAGTATTTGAATTCTATGAATACTCCTTAGTACAAAACTTATTTGGAACATTGAGCTGAACTTAAGAATATACATTCTCTCATTTGCTTTTCTATGAACGAATATTTTTATTCTGCAACTGCAAATTCTGCAGCAGATCAGATCTTATGGTGATGATAGTAATAACACAAAGGAAAAGGAAAAACATGTAATGTTATATGTGAGTTGTAGTGATGATGTTAGTTTTTTTTTACAATTTGAGGTTGGAGTAGAATCTTTTTTACAATTTGCTAAAAAAAAATGTCGTTGATCCTAATTCAATATCATGCCCATGTGCAATATGTGGCAACCTAAGGAAGCAACGTTGCTATAAGGGCACACTTGTACCGTAATGGAATGGATGCAATGTATGTGTCATGGATATGGCACGGGGAGAAGGCCACGTTTAACAACTCAATAGATGAGGGAGGTCAAATTAGGGGAAAGGAGCATAAGCTTGTTGATGAAAACCCTATAGATATGGTAAATGCTGCTTATGATGAATACGTTGAGGATCCCAACAAATTTAGTAAATTACTTGAAGATGCAGAGAAACCGCTATATGTTGGATGTACTACGTTTACAAAACTATCAGCGGTAGTGAAGTTATATAACTTGAAAGCAAAATATAGTTGGAGCAACGCAAGTTTTACGGACCTTCTAGATTTGTTTGCAAAAATGCTTCCAACTGACAACGTATTGCCTTATTCTTTATATGAGGCAAAGAGAAGATTGGTTGCATTGGGAATGGACTATGATAAAATACATGCATGTCCCAATGACTGTACCTTATATCGGAAGGAGAATGCAAACTGTACTAATTGCCCTACTTGTAGAACTTCAAGGTGGAAGATAGGCAAGAATTCTAAGATATCCATAGGAGTTCCTGCAAAGGTGTTATGGTACTTTCCACCTATACCAAGATTTCAAAGAATGTTTCGGAACAAGGATATCTCTTAGGAGTTAACTTGGCATAGAGATAATAAAGTTTGTGATGGTTACTTGCGTCATCCAGCTGATGCACCTAGTTGGAGAACAGTAGATGATATGTGGCCAGATTTTGCTAATGAGCCAAGAAATCTTAGATTGGCTTTATCTGCAGACGGGATAAATCCCCATAGTGTAATGAATTCTACATATAGTTGTTGGCCAGCCATCATGATTACATACAATCTGCCTCCTTGGATGTGCATGAAGCGAAAATTCAGGATGCTCAGTATTTTGATTTCTGGCCCTAAACAACTCGGGAATGACATTGATGTTTATTTGGCACCTTTGATTGACGATTTAAAAGTTTTGTGGGAAGAAGGTATAGAAGCATACGATGCATACCGACAGGAAAAATTCGTCCTTAAAGTTGTTTTACTATGGACGATCAATGATTTCCCAACATATAGGAACTTATCAGGTTGCACTGTCAAAGGATATCATGCATGTCCTATCTGTGGTGAGAATACATATGCCAAGAGGTTGAAGCATAGTAAGAAAATGGCATTCACAGGACATAGAAGATTTTTATGTAAAGCTCATCCTTATCGAAGGAAAAAGAAGGCATTTGATGGTAAGCAAGAATTCGAAATAGCACCAAAACCATTGGGTGGCCATGATGTTCTGAAAACAGTTGAGGGGATCAATTGTTGTTGGGGAAAAAAGAGTGGCAAGCTAAATGCTAAAAGAAAAAATACTGAATCATGTTGGAAAAAGAAATCAATTTTCTTTGAGCTTGAGTATTGGAAGCATTTGCATGTTCGGCATGTTCTTGATGTGATGCACATTGAGAAAAATGTGTGTATTATCCTCTTTATGTATTTCTAAAGATTGTGGTTATATTATGGATTTGTCATGCATTACAGGATGAATATATTCAGCAAAAGCAAGATGGTTTGTTGCAACTTCAAGGACCAAATGCGGACATCCTGACACAGGCTCTTGAATCTAAGGAGCATGGAGGTCGGGTGAGGGCTATAGGGGGACATGTCAATCCCTCAACATTTTCAGAATGGGTAGAGGGATGATGCCTGCTCATGAGAAAAATGTTCTTCTAAGCAGACAAGCCAAAGTTGAAGACAGAGTAGCAAAGTTAGAAAATATGCTACTTCAAAATGTTGGCTGTAATATTCAGATTGAAGCAAAAGGCAGTTGTACTGCAAAGGATGCAAAGGGTGCGAAGAAAAGTGAAGAAGAAATTGGTGATATTCAACAAAAATTGGATTTTGAGGAGGATGATGATGAGCTGCAATTTATTGACAAAGAAGATGTCTTGGTGGTAAATTTTACTTAGTAAGTATATAATAAACATGCCTTTCTTAGTATATTTATTTATCTAGCTAATATGCGTATATTTTGCAAATTAGAAACCATCTAAGAAGAAAGCGAGCAAGGAAGTCAAAAAGCTTGAGTTGAACTCATCAAGTATGCCTAAGTCATTATGGCTACTTTACTGTTATTACAAGCGTGCACTTGGGAATGGAGAGGGTTTACAAATATTGCTAGATAATAATGTCTTTGGGGACGAATGTACTCTCTTTGTGCACGACGAAGATGTGGCTCCTTTTTGTCAATTGATGTCAATATCGTACACGTGTATTGCTGTCTACATATGGTATGATTTAATATATATTTTGATTCAATTTGATAACTTATCACTTCTATGCTTTGTTCTTCTAATTCAGTTTCCATTCCAATGTTAGGTATTTGTATAACAAGATGATGGAAGAGAACAAGCTTGAGAAATTCAGATTTATGCAGCCAAGTGTTGTAGGGCATCTGTCAACGAAAAGAACAGATACAAAATTTCTAGAAAAACAATTGGAAAGCAGGGCATGAGCTTTAGCAAACAGACTGATGGGCATCCCAAGTGATGCAACACTTTTGGTGCCATGTAATATAGGGTAAGAATGGTTACAATTATACTTTCAATTGCATATATTATATTGTGTTGATGTAATATATAATTATGTGTTTGTGCATAGTTTCCATTGGATTTTGACAGTTATCAACGTCACTAAGGACTTAGTTTATGTGTGGGACCCTCTTAGTCATCGCATTCGCGATGATGATTGGAAGCGTGTTGTAGAAATGTAAGTTTTTTTTTAATTTCATTCTTTCAATTTATTATTACATAATCTGAATAATCAATAATATATATGAAGGGCTATTGAAATGGTTCATGCATCCTCTACGAGTGTAAAGAAAGGACGCAGTAAAACTGCTTGGGAAATTGTTAAGGTAATTTCATATTTTTAACTATATAAGTGTTTGTATATAGCTAAATTGTAATGCAAATATTATTTAACATTTGTAGGCTCCTCGTCAACCGGATAGTAACCAATGCGGTTTCTTTGTCATGGCGTACATGAAAACTTTAATTGAGAATATGCCAGACTTCGATGATAAAAATTCTGTTCAAGCACTGGTATTACATTCCATTTCTAGTCTCTCTTCCTTGTTTCTCACTGTTATTTAATTGCAGAATGGTTCTAGGTTTTTAATGCTTTGTTAGCTTGGGTTTAAGCCTCTCTCTTTTTCACTTGATTTGGACAGTTATTGATGATAAATTTGATTTTTATTTTTTATTTTTTAGAATGGGTTTGATGCTCTGAAATTTGGGTGTAGAATGCGTCTGAAAGCTCGAAATTTTGGGCATTTTAGTGCTTGATGTTTTGTAATTTTTGGGCATTTTAGTGCTCGGGATTTTTTTTTTGGGAGTGCATTTGTATTGCTTTTTCAAGTGTCTTTCTTTACTTGTTGGCTACACTTGTTATGATTCTCTTTAGGGAACTCATTATCTTGTTATGAACAGTTTGAGTATGAATGTGGTGAGAGTAAGAGGGCAGTTTCATTTTGATATGCGTCTGGAGAATTCTTAGAGGCCCATCTAAGGGGTTAAGAAATGGGATGTTCTTCATCCAAGGTGGATGATGAACAGTCAGTGAGGCTTTGTAAAGATAGGAAGAATAGACTCTAGTATGCCATTTTTGAATACTAGGTGGATTATGTTGAATAGACTCTAGTATGTCATTTTTGTGTTTCCTGTCTAGCAAGTTGCCATTTTAGTGTTTCCTGTCTAGCTTTTCTGTACTATAACCTTCCAGATTGGAGAGCTTTCCGAATTACTCCTAACTTATTTTGCATTTCATTGCAAATTATTTATATGTATACTAATTTATTTTCTTACTTTTTACATGTAGTTTCAACAAGTTGATTATGACATAGCGGTTATTGATCTGGTGCGATCTGAATGGGCCGATATTCTATCAAGTCATATAGAGTAGGTATGATTTGGTCATTAGAACGTTGTGATCATTTGGACTTGAATTGGTTCGTGGAATTGTTTTTTGTGTAGTAGTATTATGACTTGGATAATAATTAGAATTAGCCATGGAAGTCTTTTGACTTGTTATTTTAAACCTTATTAGCTTGTGCAGAATTATGTAACTACACTTTGCAACATATGATGAATGGATAAATTGTTTTGTTTATACGAATATAATTTAAGCAGGTGAAAAACGGTT